TAAATTCCTTCCTAAAACTCCATAGGTTATTTGCTCCTGTTATTCCTACAAAAGACTAACTCATCTCTCTGCTGTTTTAATTTTCCTTCTTCCTATTTCCAGACTACATTTTTCATGACCCATTAATGTCCATTTGTCCTTGTGCCAAGATTTTCCTTTGACTTAAATATATTTTCTTGTTTCCTCAAAGGCCATTTTCCTTATGACATCTTGCTCTTTTCACTGTTCTCCTTCCTTTCACGTTTTTGCTCTCTTCTTAAAATCCTATCTCATTCAAGACAGATAGTCTCAAAAAAATGTTGCTGGATCAGGCACCAAATCTTCCATTGGGCTGAAAGTCTCCATCATTGAGAGTCCGGATACATCAGGAGGAACATGACTTAGATACCATGCATCAGCTGAACTGCAGGTAACTGACAACCATGACTTGTGCTGGGTAAATCATATCATTTCAAGACTTAGCAGAAGGGATCAAGACTAATATTTGAGACTCAAAAGAGCAATAAGTGTGGTCATTCAGCTGTGTTGCTCAGACCTGTTCTGGAACAAGATATGGCAGCTATCCCAGCTCCTGCAAATCTTACTCACACGTAGATTTCTTCATTGTAGAACTGATCCGAGTTAGTGACATGGAGAAGAGTCCAAAAAGAGCTCCATCCTTACAACTCAGCTCCTGGGGCCAGCACAGGGCCTGGCATAATGAGAAGGGCTAGAGAGTCACTAAAACACTGAGCATTTGCTTTCACTCAAAGAAAAGTGAGTTGCACAGCATTACTCTGTATTTTTTGAGGCCACATAATATCAATCATATTATTCATTACCGCAATATTAATGAAGGACAACCCTGCAAGACTGGTGGTGGGTCAAAGCAGGGTAGTTGTTTTTTTTTTTAGTATCTATAAAGAAAGTGTATAGCACATGGTCACACCTTCATGCAGCAGTCAGGCCACCTTCTCCTTTTGTAACCAACAGCTTTTCACTGCAGTGGCTGCACTGTGCTCCAAGAAGTGGCGTTAGCTCCAATATTAAATCCCAGTCCAACTCAACGAGGGTTTCCAGATCTCCTTCAGAAACAATGCAGCATCCTTTTTTAAAAGGCAGAAATGGTAATGTTTAAATGACATGTTCCACTGCTACAATTTTGCTATTTTTGCCTGTGTTACCAAGACCTACAGCTGCTTCTTCCTTTTATCTGGTTTCACATTTTTAAGTAGATTTCTGATTGGTTTTGCATTATTACACCTGGAAAATGTATCCTTGCTACAAAGGCTAGAGTCTGATTCTGGTGTCTTATTAATATCCATATTCCCTTTCTGTTAAATACTGTGATCCAGATAGTTTAAAACGGTTTGGTTTTGTCTTGAAAACAGACAGTCAGCTAAAGATGAGCCTCCTTTTCCAACCCTTTCCACCACCTGCTGTTTTTGGCTGGCTTTCCGATGCTGACAGCTAGGCTGGCCCTCGGTAGGCCGCCCCATGCCACCCACCCTTACCCTTACCAGGGCTCCACATGTGACTCCGGATGTGAGGACAAGGACCTAGTTATGTCCTTTTGATTCCTGCTGTGCCACTTGTCCTGACTCAGCATCCCAGTGAGAGCAACGTGATGCCTGCTACGGCTGCCGCTCGCGCAGCTGGCGAGGTTTCCCCGCAGTTATTTGCCATCAGTGGCTTCAAAGTGCACCACCACCACCTCCCTGGGGCCCACCAGATGCAGGTTTGCGATCGCCTGCTTTGTACTGCGTGCCCGTTGCGACAGGACTTCGGGAAGGAAACCACAGAGAAATGAGCTGTGAGTGCATCCCCTGATCCTCCTACGGTGGGCTCGGAAGTCACAGCGCTGCAAGCCTGCCTCAATGAGAAGTGATTTCTTAGCTGACAGTTGTGCATGTGGAAGGCTAATAAGTGCTTGCACGGGTTTTCAGCCAGCTAATAGAAGTCAGTTGTAGTTTACATCTTGCCTTTGCCTCCATATGCACCAAGGAAGAAGTCACTGGTACTGTCCACTGAAGTCATCTGATTTTTTTCCATGTCCAGTCAACTCTCGGTGTTATTCTCAAAAAACTAATACAGAACATATGTAAATTGGGCTGTAAGAACATATTCAGTATATTTAACTCTGAAAAATGAAGTTAGGATGAAGAATGAACATCAAGAGAAAAGAAAAAATAAAAAGGATGGCTGGGAATATTTTTACCAGGGCACAGCTAATCCGCAACCTGGATGCGCTGCTCCCAGGTGATCAAGACCTGACTGTGTTTCAATCACAAATGCAACTCCTTTCATTTCTGCCTTAAACCAAAGCGAGCTCGAGTTCTCTGGGCTAGCCTACATCTTTTTCTCATTGCAGAACTTGGCACTACTCAGCACGAATAGCATGCCTCGCTCAAGGAACGGCAAGAGTAATGAAGGCAGGGGCTTTCTGGATCATGCCTGAGATGCATTAGCAGAGCTGTGGGGCACTTCCCACAGCACCTGCCCAGGCTGCTCCTGGCAGCGCTCAGCACTGTTGGGTTTTCCCTTTCCTGATCCCCAGCTGAAAACAACTTTTAAAGAGGCAGTTCCCATGACATGTTCACGTTTGGCAAGTAATGGCTGATGCTTAGGTGGAAAGAGAGAAATCACCCTTCCCTGTTCGTCATGACCTCTTTACCTTAGCTTCTCTCCACATCTGGTCCTCTTACCCCATGCCCCCGCCTCCGCTATGCCTTTTCTTCTTTCGTTTTTCTCTCTTTATAACTTATCCCCCTCTTATGTTACCACCTTTCAAAAACACAATAGCGTGGACCTAACATAATGTTTCCTGCTATCATTCCCTCCTCACCTCCTCACCGGTGGTCCTGGTTTCTGCCGTAAGCTCTTTGGGAAATGGCCTTCCCACCACCTCCTCTTTGCCTCTGCTAGAGGGGGGCCCAGTCCTGGTTGGTCTGCGGGCCAATCAACGTGGCTACAAGTAGTGATAACGAGTAGCAATTTGCTCCTCAGTTAATCAATTTCTACATGTGTCAAGTCTATAAGCTTTCCTTTTCAACAAAAGCATGCATTTCTTGTTCAGAAATTGTATATCTAATATCAAATTTTACATCTCATCAATTCAAGGGACAGAAGTCACCTGACCTGGTGTGTGCTGCTGGCCTAACGCAAAATCAATTTTGAACTTACAGTAATGGAAAGGATTTTTTTCTTGAATCAATTGAAGACAGAATTGTTGCAGAAATTTTTGAATCACTCCACATAATAATCAATAACAACGAAGTCCCGAACCGCTCCTGAACGGTTCACAAGTCAAAAAAGTGCTGAATTTCATCCAATAAATTATTCATTGTGAATTGTTCGCACAGCTGTGCTCTACATACAAGGGAAGTTCAGGGGGTCTAATAATCCCTCTTCATGCAGAATATTTTGTTACATGGGGAAAACAGTAATTCAGAGGATGCTCAATTTTTATGCTCTTGTAATAAATTAAGAAACTGTTTGATTTTGTCATCTGTGAGGGAAATACTCTTTTTTTTTTTTCACTGGAATGAACTATCTCAGAATAGTTTTTAATGGAAATGATTAGAATGTTGCTATTAAGAAATCAGCATTGGTCCAGCAATTACCACACAATCCCAAATGATGTAGTACAGGAAAATATATTTGTCCCAGAGACTGTGTGGTAACTTATGGTAAAAGTTGCTTCTTTAGGAGCAGCCACCACAACTCCATCTGTTTTAGCTAAAATATCTGTCCAAGTGACCCCAATTTCAACTTTATGAGTCTCATATTAATAGGGAATCTGAAGAAAATGAGCCAGAGTTTAGCTTCATGTCACTACTCACATTTTCAAGCTCTTTATCAAGTATCTCTTAAAAGTGTCCTGTATGCTAGAGCTCTGAATGCCTGTCTGTAAGTGATGGACTCGTCTTTAAAGAAACAGATCCACTTAATGTGTTCAGCTACAAACATGAGCCTATTGGTGCATATGAACTAACATGTCACCCCGTGATTGATGCTTCCCTGTTACTCTGCCAAAGTACATTAAGTTAAGCTCCTTTTCATCTCCACAAATAGTAGGGACTACAGATGGCCCTCATTTGTAATCCTCAACTAGCACAGCTGAGGGATGGGAGAGGGTGCTGGTACCCATTGCCCGCCTGAAATGGATTAAGGAGATTTCTGTACAGAGCAGCGTTACAAGAATAAAGTCCCAAAGCAAATAATAACAAAAAGGAAGGAGTGCTGACAGTGGCTGTGAGTATTGCCAAATGGTGCAGATGACAGTATCTCTGAGTAGACACTTGTATTCGGTGGTGAATATTTCAGCAGTGTGCACGACTCCCATCTGCCTGTCCTTTTCTGCTTGTCTCCCATGTGCCATGAGCAATGTGCACTATGAGCACTGCTGTACTGGCATCCCAATCATTCAGAAGCCCATGGCTAACCTGCTGACTTCAGTCACGGCCAGGATTTTGTCATTCACTGGAGCAGGTCAAGGCACCTCTCAGCGTGGTCAGTTGTATATAGGGAGCTCAGACCACTTGTCAGTGGCCATGCATCTACATTTTGAAGTTGTACAAAACAAATCCTGCAGGCTCTGTGCTCAAGCTGCTTGCTGGAGGCTTCTACTATAGTTGTTGGTGCTGCAGGCTGCTGAAGGAAACGTCAGCCCCTGCAAGGCACTTCCAAGGTGTATTTTCCCAGAACACTGTAGTGTTTCAGAAAAGAGAGAGGAGAAAAGCCTCTACCTTTTTGCTTGGTGTACACACTACGCAGGTTGAAACCATTTCAGGACACAACATTGGGCACCTTCTCAGCAACAAAAATGTCCTCTTGCTGTTCTCTGAGGACAAGTGTGCAGGGTCCGTGTGGGTCAGCCCTTGGCATTGCTGTGGGAAGAGAAGGAGGCTGGGAGGGGCACTGATCTTCCCCATTGATGCTTTTACCTCATATCAAAGCTATTTCCATCTCTCATGTAGAAAGCGTGCATTGTAACACAGATTTTCTTCACTTGACACATATTACAAGAGTGAATTTATTCCTCTTTGCTTTCAAAAATATTTATTTGGGGAAAAAAATAAAAGAAGAAGAGAAAAAAAAAAAAAAGGAAAGGTGGCTGCAGTTTTGTGTGAGGGGTCTGTGGGACGGGGATCAGCATCTGGCTCTCAGTGGCTATGAGCAGACAGTGTCGAGCGCGGCCTGGAGGAGCAGGGCTGTGCTCCGGCCAGACAGGAAGGGAGCCCCGGCGTCCAGACGGCACGAGAGATAACAGCTGCCTTTCCAGACACCATTATCTGCTCCAGCGAGTCACTGGGACCAGCCAGCGGGCCTTCTCCAGGGAAAGCCACACACAGCTCCTCGGAGCACCACGCTTCACCAGGGGAACAGAGCTGGTGGTGCTCTGGCCTCCGAGCCGGTGCAGACACAGATGTCTCCTCGTGGGGACCTGCCTCTGCTGTAGGGCTGGCGCCTTGCTGGCCCTGCACTTGCAGCCACCCAGGAGTCTGGCCAGGCTGAGCTCTGGCCATGTGAGAGATGAACAGATACTCCTCTTCCACATTTTTGCATGATTTAGTTACTCCTGACTGACCAAAGGTGAGAACAGAAAGGTCTCCTGGAGCTGGTGCTGATCCCTGGTGCAGCCTCAGTTTCCCTTCTACATCATCCACTCGCTTCTGGCGTCATCAGAGCAATGTCGTGTTGCAGCCAGCTCCTAACACGCAACGTTTCTGCCATGAAAGTCAATATCCAATGCAAACTCCAGGTCTGGTTGCTCATGGCACAGTATTATGTCTCTTCTCACCACGGTGACCATCATCATTTACATGTTCCTCACTCCTTTCTTGCCTCGGCATGCAGGGAGTGAGGCTCCGTGGCATGGGAGAACCCAGAAATTCCCAAACCTCCCCTTCCAGTGCCTCACCCCAAGCACCCCAGCACAGCTTCTCCACAGGTCCCGAGTAGCAGAGAGCAGCTTCACAGCATCTCATGGCCCTGGGGCCACAGATTCTCCTCCTGCAGCCCCCAAGGATACCCAGGACCCTCGGCATCATGGTCATGTTAAAGTTCTTCCCACCACCCTTCACCACACCTTCCTGCCCCTGTCACAAGGAGATTGAAGACCAGCTTCCAAGGGATACAGCAGAGTTTGGAAAGCTCCCTGGCTGGAGAAGCAGTGTGGAAAGAGAGAAACGGGAGGGTGAGGAGGTGAAGTGGTGGGAGAACCTGGAGGCTGGGCAGGGGGTGACTCTGAAGTAAAGGGCTCTTCCCCCTTCATGCTAAACTGAGAATATCTTTTCATTTTCATTACACAGCAAAACTTCATAAAATTGCATAAATTTTCTTGTCAAAGATTCATGTTCATATGTTGCATTCAATTTACTGATATATCTTTATCTTCATCCAGTTTCATTCAGACAGGGTTTTTAAAATTATCTCCACAGAGCCAAGTGTTTCATCCCAGAGTCAACTGCATTGTACTTTAGAGTACAGAATTTATTTTATTGCAATTTTTAACAATCATATTTATAGGATTCCGATTAGGCTGAGCTTAAAAATAATAGCACAGTGCAAAGATACATGCATTTGGGTGGTTAACTAGGTGTTGAATAACCAACATCAAAATGCACAAGTGATGACACAGGCACATAATTATGCATGCAGAGTATCCATATGCAAATTATTGACAGATTCTTATATTTGTATGCATAAAGGCATGCTTCCTTCTCTTATCTGGAAAGGCTATGGGTTGAACTTCTTCATCTGCTTTTCAAAACAAAAGAGACTCCCGAAATGGAACTTATTAGTGCAGGATGGTCTATATTTCCAGGGCAGCTGAAAAGGTAGTAAAAGCAGAATTATTCACTTCTCTTAAAATTTAACTTTTGCAAATACTTGGATGTTTCATATCTAGAGGAAGAATGTTCCCTTTTGGATACAAATAGCTTGATCCTGCATCCACCCCACAACCATATGGAATGAAATTGAAAACAAAAGCCATTTTCATATCTGCTGTCTGTCTTCATTTAAAAGGTGGAGTCGAGTGAACTTTCCCGTTAACTTTCCCATGAACATTCCCATGAATAAGATTTTGTTTGCAACAGAGTCAGACAATTGTGGGCTTTCACATGTGGTGCAGTTGGTACTGATGTGGCCACGTTTGCTGAGTTTTAAAGGCTTGGCATCTATTAGGGTGGAAAATCAAGTGGTTTAAGCTCTCCATCAGCAAAGACCTATGTACTTACCTTACTGAAGAAGGACAAGAGCCTTGGAGAGGAGCTGCACAATATACTCCCAACAACAAAACAAGACCTGTGATCTGTGTTGATACTAATGTGCAGTAACCTGAAGAAACCACATGGAATAACTGTAAATATTTTTTAAACTTATTAAGTCATTTCTTTTATTGTATCTGCTGGGAGACAAAAATGGCAGAGCTTTTCCCTGGCATTCCTTTGTGTTACATAGGAGATAAAATCTTGCTTTCCTGAACAGAAAGAGTATCATGGGAAAGGTTCTGCTTTCCAGTTGGTCTCCTCAGAGGTGTCAGCTCCCACAGTGTGGGATTTGTTCATACCACAGGATCTGAGTGTATCCTGAAAGGTGACTCGTCTGACAAGTACAACTGTGGTTAATTCTGCAGACAGAAGGACGAAAGCTCTTGAGGGTGCACAGATGCTGACTTTCTTGGTCTAGTGAGTGGTTTGCCATAGAATAAGTCAAACTTCCCTTATCACAATTTTTGGTTCTGCTAAAAGAATCACAGAATCACAGAATGGTTTGGGTTGGAAGGGACCTTAAAGACCAGCTAGTTCCAATCCCACAGCCATGGGCTGGGACATTTTCCACTAGACCAGGTTCCTCAAAACCCCATCCAAATCTGGCCTTGAACACTTCCAGGAATGGGGCAGCCACAACTTCTCTGGACAGCCTGTTCCAGAGCCTCACCACCCTCTGAGTGAAGAATTTATTTTGTATATCTAATCTAAATCTACCCTCTTTTGGTTTAAAACTATTACTTCTTGTCCTATCCCTACACTCCCTGATGAAGAGTCAATACCCATCTTTCTAATATGCTTTCTTTAGGCACTGGAAGGCCACTATAAGGTTTCCCGGTAGCCTTCCCTTCTCCAGGCTGAACAACCCCAGCTCTCTCAGTGTGTAAAACCTAAAAACAAATGTAAAATTGCGTAATTTCCAAAGACATACCCACTGTTTATCAGGTAACTTCTGACATACTGTACATTGACTGTGTATCACTGTAGGAAAGCAAGCTTACTCTTGCAAATAGCAGAGACAAGCTGTTCCCTACAAGTAGTTATTGTAGCTCTACTAAAGAATTCAACTTTTCCCCTTTCCCTCTCCAGCAATCTGTTCTAGATTGAATTTTTCTCCCTCAAATCTCTGTTTATAGATCTCAAATGCTGACAAGAGTCCACAGATTCTCCTCTTACCAAACAAGCCCTTTCCATAGGATGCAGGGGGTCTTCCCAGGGGCTAGCACAGGATTTCACACAAATGAGGCAGCCTTCTGCATCCCAGGGCCTGACTCAATTTCTGGATTATCTGCTTGGCGGCAACATTTCAGCTGTTTGAGGAGTTTTCAAGCATCCCACAACCTCCGCTGTGTGCACCGAGGCTTTTATTTCACTGTTGGTTCCCCTGCTGTGCTGCCAATGACTGACGGCACACATATTCCCCTTGCGAGCACGATGGACTGTGCATAGTTCACCAGGGACATCCCAGCGGTTTGTGAACCGATGCAGGAAATATTGTCAACTATGTGTTAGTGATATATCCCAGCTCTTCCCATGACTCATGTATTTAAAGGTTTTTATTGTTATTATTTATTCCAGCAATTGGTGATGACTGGTGCATACCAAAATGGACCGATAACCAATGTGTGTTTGTTTTAGAATATCCCAGGCTAAAACTCGCTAATTTACTTTTAGGGGACTGTCTGAGAAGTCATTTGGTTAGCCTCTATGACCATATCTTATCATGAAGCTTCAGTGACATCTGTTTCATCAGCATGCACACACTCAGAGCTCAGACACACACATCACCCATGCTGCTAGCATACTCATGCTGATACACCTCGCACCCTCACACATCCACCTTGCACACTCACATCTCACATGCTTACACCCACACACGTTTTCAGCCTTGCACACACAGACACCTCACCAACCCACATCTCATACACACACGTGCTCACACAAGCCCATGCCTGCTACCACACACAGGTCTCACTCTCACCTTGCAAACACTCACTCCCCCAGCACTTTGCATGCACCCAGCCTCCCTGCCACCCTCCCTGCCCACACAACCCCTGCGATGGGTGCTGAGGAAGCTCGCACCTCATCCCCAGCCTCCTCCCGTGGCAGTGTCAGACCTGCCTTTTAAAACACCAACAGAAAAAAAAAATGGCAGTGAAACGGAGGGCCCTTGTCTCCTGCAAATATTTAGTACATCAGGAGCCAGTGCAGTGGGGCAGAGAAACCTAATTCGTTTCTTCTAATCAATCAACATTTGTTAATCAAGCATGACAAACTTTCACTCTCTCTGCCAATAAGGTAAAATGTGATTTAACCACAGCTGATTTTATTGTTACTTTACCAGTCACAACAAAGCAAAACAGGAAAGGGAATGTGCCTGTTGATCAGCTGCCTGTGGTCAATAGGAGAGGAAACAAAATCAGAAGCACAGTCTCTGGGTCCAGCCCAGGGCAGTGTCCCCTTTGCCAATGTCCCTTTGAGCCCATGTGTGCAGCGGGGCAGCACCTGGTGCTGTTTTCATGAAATGCTGTGTTTGCCTGATCCCAAATGTCTAAATGCTTCTGAAGGAGCCCAGCCCATCAAGCCCAGATTGCTGAAGATGCTTTTTTTCTATTTTAATCGACTCTGACTTCATCGGAGTTCAGCAGCCAACTCTCTGGAGAAATCTGGCTTATCCCATCCTGGGTGCAAGCTAATCTCCCCCTCTCCCATAGTGGGGCAGGATCACCTCTGCCCGTGTGAGTGCTGCAGGGCTCTGGCTGAACTCACATCTATTTGGATGACTGACCACCTTCTCACCGTCTTTCTAGCTTATGGCTAAAACCCATTGTCTGGGCAAAGAGGGTAAAATTAAGTTTTTGAGAGGTGTTTGTCAGCAGAATATTGCAGGTTTTCTGTTAAAAGAGTCATTTACCAGAACACCACGATTCTGGAGCAACTTGTTTGCTGGAATTCAAACTGACAGGTACTGCAGCTAGCTGCAACTTCCCAGCTACGCGTGCAGTATCCTGGATCAGAGAAAAATCCACAAACCGTGGAGAAGTGGTTAAAGCTATGATAATTGCTACAGTCCCGTATTTTTTACCAGCAGTGAAATCAGCCTCTAACTCCTGTATGGAAAGAATTATTCCATACCACTGTCCATTGTTCTGCATCATTACCAGGAAACAGGGTTATTACAAGATCGGGTCTCTTATGTTAACCCTGGGAAAGAAAAGAGATACATTTTGTTTTTAAAATATATTAAAGAAAGAAGAAAGTAAATCCCTTCTGATCTGGTAAATTGCTACTGTACACATTCACTGAAAAAAAGAAAAAGGCTTTTTAAAGAACATCACAAGCATAGCACAAACCAAGTAAAACCGAGAAAAATTGAAGTTAAGGCAGGCACTGTGTGCTCAGCTAAACGGGATAGTGTATTAAATCAAGAAAGCCAAAGCTGATCTGCTCTGTGTAGCAGGTAGCAGCTCTGGCAGACAAGCGCCCTGGAGTCTTGCAGAGTCTGGCAACATTGCCACCACGCCACCGTGCCTGGAGTAGGGTCTGTCCTTTGCCTCCGTGGGTTCAGCACATCCTCCAGTGTTGCCTGAGGCAGCCCTGGGGACAGGAGGAGCAGTGAGACCCATCCCCAAGCTCATCCTGTTTCATCCTTCATGAGAAGAGCCAGCAGGGAGCCCTGAGCAGGATCTGGCCCTACAGAGCTGTTGAGGCTTGACAAGTCAGTCAAGATGACAGCCATTACACATGCTCTATTTTACAGAAATGAAATGATAACATTAATAAAACACAACAAATGGGTCATTTTAAGCATCATTACCTCCCTGTGTGACATTCTCACTGAGGCAGAGGAGAAGGAGCTGTTTCCAGGCTGTGCTACATAATGCTTTTTGTTCTGCTCTAATCATCATTTTCAGGTTTTTTTTCTTTTTTTTTCTTTCCTTTTCTTTCTCTTTTTTTTTTTCTTTTTTCTTTTTCCTTTTTTTTTTTTTTCTTTTTCCTTCTTTTTTTTTTTTCTTTTTTCTTTTTTTTCAGGGTGCAGATTTTCCCTCTCCTGCCACAAAGCTATAAAAGGAAGGACTGTAGGATGAGAAGACAAATGCTCCCTGCCCCTTTTGCCTAAGTGGCCACAACACCAGGCTGCTTGTTTACCTGCCTTGGGTCTTCCTGGCTTCTTTCTCATTGTCTTGAGCGGAACCATGGAGCAAGAAAAAGAGGTGGTTCCCACTGGATGACCAGAAATCCTCCCCTCTGTTTGGGCCCCGACCCTGCTGGCAGGGAAGTCAGTTCTGCATCTCATGGACCAAAATGGAGGAGCAGGCCTGGGGGCTGCCCACCCTGCCTGCACACCTCAGAGTGCCAAGGATGGTCTTCAGAGAGCAGGAGCTCCAAAACCTTTGCCCGGATCCTGGTGCTTCCATGCTAAGTGATAGGGGCTCACCTGTACCCCACAAGGGACATCCTGGCCAGGTCTGGTGCTTGTCCCCAGGACATACAGCAGGATGGGGCCACCACTGCAGGAGGTTTTAGCCCAAGCAGTGGCAGCACCCTTCTGGGGCCATCTCCAGTCCCATGCACAAAAAGCATGCGTCCCACCCAGCAGGCTCACACAGCCAGCCAAATTTGCAAATGCACACCCATCATACATCTTCTTTTAATACCTCCTTTTCCTCTCACAAACTCCCCGGCCACCCCAGTTGCATGTGACTGTCTGTAGTTACTTGTATGTTGAATCAGAAGCATTTAAATGTACTCTTTGATCCTCTGCTAGAAATGGTAGCCCAACACATTTGGCTGTTGGCAGGTTGTGAGGGACTGTATGTACAGGCCTGTAAAGCAAATATCTTTGGTTTTGTAGAGAAACCCAGCTGCGCTCGCACACGTGCCATGGCACACACTGCATTGAAGTGTGATGACAATCACAACTGAAAACACCAGACGCTTTGAAGGCCCTGTAATTGAAGCGAAAGAAGAAAGGCCTGGGCTTGGAGCCCATAGTGATCAGTACCAGGCCACGCAGCCAGCAGAAAACTGCCTTTTACGGCATTTTACAGACTTTCTAATTGGCTTCCAGGGCTGGTGGCTGCTGCCTGTGCAGCACTGGGAATCGGGGCCACGTGGGGCCTGAGGCTGGTGCTGCCTGAGCACGGAGACATGCCCCGCGGGGCCTTGCAGCTGCTTGGGAAGGCTTCTTGCCACACCGCTGCCCTGCTTCTTGGCCTCGGGAAGGGTGTTTCTGCTGTTGGCAGTGGTTTCATGATGAGACCAAGCACACAGGGCGCTGTACCTGTGCCATTTTGGGGGTTTAATGGGAAATCGACAGGCCCATCCCACTGCTGAAGCCACTTGGAATGTGGTTGCTGTGCCACCGACCAGCGCAAGCCTGTGTAAAGGGGCTTGAGCGCTCCTCATCCTGCCTTGTTTGGTTTTCCCCAGATGAGTCTGCTCTTGCCCTCTCCCCATCTCTCTCTCTCTAAATACAAGCCTGTACATACCCTATAAGTATGTGCAGACCAAAACATACTCATACTGTGGTACTTTCCTTGTTTCCCTATAGGACTGCATGTTAAAGCTGCCCGTATACGCTTCAATATTCCTGAATCCTTTTGCCAAATATTTCCTGGCAGTCTGTTGGTCTGAGTTTGATCCCCTGATGGCAAAATTAGGTGAGACCAATGTAAACCTGCTGTCCAGAGACGTGGTAAACTCAATGCCCCATGTCAAACAGCAGGAAGGACTAACCTCTCTGCTAACATGGGTTCAGCAGGACTTAAGTAAAAGAGCTTTACAAGAAAAGCTGAAACAAGGACAGGAAACCTGACCAAGCATCAGTTTGGAAAACCTGGTGGATCTCTGCCCAGACACGGAGAAGGTGCATGGAGAAAGTTGTTCTCCTCTACCTGAAATATGTGTGGATTCGGGGAGGATTACAGCATGTTCCAGGCAAAGTAATCACACCCTTATGGCTTGGCAGAAAGGCTTGAGATATCTATGTTGCTACTTTTATTAGATACAGCTTAACAGAATCTTGCCAGTACTTGCTGCTATCAGTCTTCTTCTTCTCCACCCCTTCTGCTCCACCACCACATTGCTGTCCAAAAAAGCCCCGAAGTATTCCAGTTATTTTAACTAAGGAGCAGAAGTGTAGCAGTGTCTCAGAGGCTTATCCAAGTGGTCAGATATTCCTTCCCAGAAACTCTCCCCTCTTTCCTCACTCCTTGAATCCAAAGCAGGATTTTCTTCCTTGGACACAAACACTCAGTTTCTCTCAACTTTCAAATTCAAAGATTTTTTTACAACAAAAACAACAAAATTGGCTGTAACTGGCAAAGGCATCCTGGCTAGTGCAATTGGCTCCTTTCACTCTTCTACTGCTGGTAGGGGTCTGTCTGGAGCTCTCCTATCTCAGCTGTTCTTCTTTCTCACCTGTCAGTAGCCACCAGCACTGGGCTCTTGCCTTTTTAAGATCCCATTTTGTCCATATGCACATGAGTATGTCTATGAACTAATTGTACGAAGGGAGCTTCTGGGAAAAGGGAAGGAGACAGAGCATCTTCCCTGAATGTATGAAATTCAGGAAACAGAAGCATCACGTGAAGGACCCTAATAATAATTAAAAAGACCAAACAAGGGACATTGCACAGGCCTGTGTGGTTTTGTATACTCACTTGCAATATAAACTAAGGGCTGCTAGGCTGCAGAGGGCCTCTGGGGAATCTCCACTCTGGGAAGAGTCTCTCTTTGAAGGCATGGCCAAGCTGTGCTCTCCTAACAGTTCAAGACCTGCCCAGAGAAACTCTGGCCCCAGGTTTGAAAATGACTCTTCTAGCTGGAGATCTACAAAGCCATGGCTTTGATAGCAGACCTGTGGCAGAAACCATGAGCTTATGGTAATTCTGGCTGTTTCATCACTGGAAAAGAATACAGGACCAATTTTCCCCTGATTCATTTTCTACCTCTTTCTCAGATTAGTTTGAGGTCAAAAAAATGTGCCCAGTTTCATTGTTTTCCTTAAAAACTGATTCTATATAACAATATCAGTCTTAACTTGTTTCCATTTTCACAGAGCCTTATTTTTATAATTAACAACAACATTAAATCAAGAGAGCACTTGTTTAACATTTCAACACATTTTTGTCTGAAGTGATTCACTCAGATCATTTTCCTGGAAAAGGTGATTTCTGGGCCTGTAATCCCCTAGGTATGTGTTTCATCTTCCAATATTGAGCTGGTATGGACACATGGAAAGAAAATCTTATCTTGTTGAATAATACCTAATACCCTTTCCAGAAAAAACAATAATGATTTGGCACCTCTCCAGCTATTAATGCTTTATGAGTAACTAACTCCTCAATACCCAGAATTTTCTTCCCTCTTCTTCTGTACAGGAACAAAAAGTCCCAGGCAAGAATTGACAAACCAATCCATTTGCCAAGTTTCTCAAGCACCACGTCAACATGACTGCCATACGTGCTCTTTGTAATAACAAAAGTCATGGTGTATTCCTTGGTATTTATGTGGATATCTCATGTCATTTCATGAGCTTGCTTGTTCTTTCCTCCTCTCTTTGAATTTTTCCTTCAGCAACAGGTATGAACTCTAAGCGCAATACAGGGGATGTATTTAATACACAACAGTTGTTCTCTTACGTGCAAGTGTTTTCTATAAAGAAACCATCCATCACTGCTGTATAATAAGCCACATCTTTTTCTGTATGGTCTCTCCTTGTGAACTGACATATGTGGGGATGAATATTGTTCCCTGTAAAACAGGGAATGAGCAAATACCAAAGTAACTTCTGGAAGAGAGTTTTTAATTTGCAATAAAATGATTAAAAGTGCCCAGATAGCTTATGAGTCTAAATCCCATTTTCAAAAGGAGGTGAGGTCTAGAACAGGAAAGAGATGTAGATGCCTAACCAACACAAATAACCATAATGCTAATGTGTTGTTCCAGACATATGTTTGATCTTCAGCCCTTCTCCTGTCCTGTACAAGCTGTACATTCATAATTCCATCAGTGACATTCCCCGGGCTAATATATCCATACGATCACCTCAGAGCTTTTGAAGATCATTCTCACTTCCTGCACAGGTTTGTTTCTTTGATACATATTCTTTCTAAGGCTGGTGACTGGTATGAAAAACACCATGAGCATCCCAAGCCCATAATGTGTTTCCTTGCCCACCAAAACAACACGATTCCTAACTAGTCAGGAACTGGTAATTGATTAGTGGCAATTTGTCAAACCACATATGTTTCATGAAAATACTTTTGATTCTAGAAACATTTGTCAGCCCCAGACTGAAGCTTTCTGGGCGATCCTGCAGGATCAGTATCTCCTGGGAGCACCCTGGTGGGCAGCAGAGCTCTGGGTAAGAGGCATGGCTCCCAGGCTCCACTGCACAGCTGGGCATGTGGCAGCTTTTGTGGCTCCAGAAAGGATAGGACTGAGGGGTTTCTACATGCCAGGTGTCACAGGATGCTGCAGAGTCACCTCTGGCACCACTGAACTTCAAACTGGACAACACTGAGAAGAGAGCACTCCCATAGTGCGATATGGCTGCTGCATTTGCTTTCAGAAAATGGGAAAAGCAATGCTCTGAGCTTCTGAGAACAAATTACGTTCAGAATTTAGTTTCTACAGGAGAGGTAAAACTTTTGTAGTCTTTGTTCCATTCTGGAACAAAAACTGTCTGGAAAGGTCAGGATTTCCTACAGAGAGAAAATGCCAAGTTTTGACCCACATCAGCCTTAAATTGCTTTATTAAAAACAAATAATCAACCAACAACAAAAACGTTTTTTGTTAATAATTCAGTTTCAGAGCAAGGATTGCTAAATATTCTGGGAGACTGCAACTTCAAAGCTCTTGTTCCTTATGAGGATATTTCAAATATCTGCACCCACTTCCTTCACCTGGCAGCTCCCTTCCCCTCAGTGACTGTGTGATACATGGCTGTGCTGGGGGATATTTCTGCCCAAGCATGGAACTGTCACAGGAAAGGAAATGCCAGCCTATCTGATTAAACCAGAATTAAATGAAACTGTAATGAGCAATGTGTGGCCAAAAAATGCTGTTGTGTACAAGCAGAAAAGGACCTAACTGACTTTCTCAGAACAGCTGAGGGAATTAGCTACATTTTTCCTAATGATGTAGAAGGGAGATGTATGGTCAGGTCCTACTGAATGCATGGGTTTCTTAATTTTTCCTAGCATGAAGTGTGGTTCTCTTGCTATTGGCAGGGGACCTGCTTCTCTCCTGCTTGCTCAGGGGCTCTCAGTCCTGTGCAAAGTAGCCTCAAGATGCATCTTAGGCTCCATGAAAGTATTTTATATTCACCTGCTACTTCCAAGAGCAAGGCACTGAGAAAGTGAGCCTTCTGCCCTGATCAGAGAAGGGTGGCTGATGGGGAGTTAGGGAGTGGTCAGAAAACTGGAATTCATTAATTTCCAAGGCTCTGAAAAAAAATAACACAAATTTTCAAGATATTGCAGGCAAGCAAAATCCTTTCTCCTTTGTACATTTTTGCTTGAGATTTTGCATGTTGTCCTTGAATGTGGCAAAAGCCCCCCTCTTCTTCTTCCATCCTTCCCTAGGAAAAGGAGCCCAGCACTGATGAGGGCAGGCTCTTCTGCGAGCACCCAGCACCCTGCTCCGAGCTACCAGAAAGTGGGTGCCTGTACCTGCTGGTGAGCCTGGGCTTTGGACATCTCCTTTCCACCTCAGCTGTGCTCTCCCTGCTCCCTGTTCTGAAGTCCTGTGTTGTGGTCAGCACAGGTAAGATACTGGGTGTATAAATAGCTTCCTCCCACCTGAAGCTGCACTTTTTTTCTTTCTTAATTCAGCAACTAGGGTGTTCGAGTGGAGGACGTGAGTCTCACCTACTTATCACCGTTGCCTGCACATAATCAGATGCTTTCAGTAAAGAAGATCCAGATTCCTTTGTGGACCTTCTTAACAGGTCTTAACTCCCAGCTTCTTGATACCTGCAAGTGAGCAATTCTGCTTGCAATAAAAAATAATCTCCCAAGAGGACCTCTGATCTTAAAACAAATGCTGTTTAATTCACCACTCATTAGGAGTGTATCTGGATTGATTTATTGAGCACTCCTGACCCCAAATCTTTTGAACAGCATTCCTTCACGATTAAGTAGGGAATGGATTTGGGCAACACTTCTGGCAGGCAGACTGGGAGAACACAAGTGATTCTTAAAAACATTCATATCATGTAACCTAATGAAAATATACTACATGTTGGCATGCATTTGGCCCAGACCAGAAAGGATATGTTTTCCAGCCAGAGCTCAGGTAACTTCTGTAGTAAATAGGGCCAGAACAATTCATTAATTATACATTTGTGGTTGTCTCACCTTTGTGTATTTTGGAAATATGCAGCCACATTCAATCAATCAGGAAAACGGCAATATCTGGGGGTCCAAAGGAAATCAATGTTTTTGGTAAGTACACGACAGGCCAAGGCAGCAGAAAGCATTATATCCTCTAGGGGATCGGTTTCTACTTGCTGCTTAATATTCAAAGAACAGAGAAATGGAAAAAACTATCCCAAAAGTCTTTTATAAGTGACTGGCTACAGATGAATGCTTTCTAGATGAGAAAAGCAAACTTTCTTGCTAGTTGCACCCAAGTAATTAAGAGCATGAAGAAACTTGGCCTCTGTTCTTTAAGCATGTAAACAAAACAAAACAAAAAAAAACTTTGAATTTTGTAATAAGAATCAAAAGAGTCCAAATTATAACCTCCTACCATGTGCCTTGCCATTCTCATTTGACTGCAAAAACAAGATGAAGCCATGGCTGATGCATGGAATGGGCTGTTGGCTGCCTGCCTTGTTTGGCCAACGAAGGTATATGCAGTAAATCTGGTATGTGCCTTCCCTGCTCTTCTGGCTTCTGGTGAGCAGGAGAGTGCAGTATCTGGCTTGTCTCTCCCTGCAGAGATCCAATAGCAGAGAATTTGCCAGAATATTTGCATGCACATAAATCATTAGGAGCAAATGTTGCTTTAGGTGGCACTTGAACACTAAGCAATGTCATCAGCTCTCATGACTTATCAGAAGATTCCCAATAACATTTTACTCAATATTCCTGCTTAGGGGGAAAAGCGAACGACTATTTTAAACCAGACCTCATGATTGCAGGAGATTAGAGAGCTGGGGAAAGGCTCGATTAGTGATTTTTGAGGATGTAGACTGGGTTTATCCCAACTGTTTTTTTCAGGCACTTAACTGACCGAATCGGATGCCTATTTCTGATGGGTTTCTTCCACGCTTAGCAGAGAGCAAGGCCTTGCAGAAGGCATTGCTGCACAGTGTTGGCAGATTCCTGTGAACCTGCTCCATCACTCGTGTCTGGACACACAGAATCAAAGGTTTCCCAAAACAGGGGCATGGCCGGGCTGGCTCCTCCTGTCATTGCATCGGGGTTGGCGGGGATGGAGAAAGACAACCTGCATGGCTAGGAAGGGTGCACATATCTCCTTGGGCTTTCCTGCATGCAGATTCCTGAAACAACCTGTGGCTGTCCTCCTCCTCAAAACATTGCTCCTGGGAGAGATGACAAAGCTACATGGTGTCCTGGCCACTTGTAGAGTTTGTTGTGAAGCTGGTTGTGTTTCCCATCCCATCGTAATGTGCCCTGCTTTGGTCGGGCCCGCAGGCTTCTCCTGAGACACGAGCAGGAGTCCCAGCAGAGACGACTGGAAGCTGCCCACCTCTGCTCACCGTCCCACCCAGGGAACAGGACTGCTCTGTGCTGTAGGCAGGGGGGGGAATCCTGCACTCAGTAGGACCCACACCCCTGAGAGCAACACAAAGCCATTAATTACCTCGCAGTGCTAACAACAGGTGACAGAAAAAGCTTTATATCTTACACCTGCTCGCACGGAAAGTTTGTTCACTCTTCTGAGACCTTTCCAAGGGGCCACACAAGTGGCAAGCTGAAAAAAAAAAAAAAAGCCAGTTTCAGCCAGATCTGCCTCTCGCTTGTGCCTTCTGGATAAAAAAATATGTGGTACATGAAAGAACCCTTTGAAGTGACTGATGTTGATGCTGCAGTGCATTTGGGAGAGCACACAGAATACCGCTGCTGACGGTGTCAGGCAGCAAGGGGGGCTCTTCCTCCACCCACGGGGAGAAGCCGAGGATATCTGAGAGCTCTTTCTGTATATCTATATTTAAGGGAGTGGGTAAATTTAGACTCTGCTGAAACAGGAGAACGGTTCATGACACCAGGGTGAGCAGAGAACAGCATCTGCCTCTCTGCAGCAGGGCTGCGTCCTGTCTCGCAGCGTGTCTGTGGCGTCGAGCCTACCTTTCCCTGGGTGGCTGCTACAAATTACTCTGACTGCGGGGCAGTTTTCTGACATTGGAAAATGCTCTCCGCAGATGCCAGCAAGTGGATTTATTTTTAACCCAAAGAAAATTTGTGATCTGGGGTCTCCTGAATAAAACACGCAGCCACCTCTACGGTAGGTGGTAATTTTAACAGCGATTTGCAGTTTCTTCTTTCTTCTCTCAGTGGTGAAACAATTCAGTGTGCTAGAGACAAGTCTTCCACACAGAGCTGTCATAAGGTAATTAGAAAGAAAGGGAAAAAGAGCATCATGAAAAGGCAATAAAGAGAGGAAAAAAAAAACAGCTTTGTGTCATGTCCAGAGCTGCTGGAAAATCCACATCATAAAACAGACTGATGGTTGGTGGAAATTTCCTCATGTTAGGGTATATTTTAAGCATTATTTAGAAAACAAATGCTTAGTCTACCTGTCCAAGGGTGTAACAAAGAACAAAATCCAGCCTACCTCCTCCCATCAGACCAAGAGGCGACCACACTACCACCCTGCTTGTGGGCACCTGCTGGGGCTGAACTCCTCCAGGAGCAGCTCTGCTCACTTTCGGGCAGGCAGTAGAGGACACCAGTGGCACTTATCTTAAGGGACAGCAAACACTGCAGAGGCTGGGAGCTGGGGTCACCTGGCAAAGAAACAGGATGGTGCTCGTGTGCGAAGACAGAGCAGGAAAGAAGAAGAGTGAAGGAGATGCATGGGGTCACCTCTGAGCCTTGACCCCGTCATCTTCCTGTTTTAAGAAGGGAAGGCTCTGGGGCACAACTCAGCCCGAAGATGAATTCAGTCTGTTCAGCCGGAAGCGTTTCCCCATTCAAAAAGTCATGAGTCCTTCTCAAATATTCCTGTGTGATTGAAAAAAGGAAATGCAACCACTTTATAAGTTTGGGGTTATGGGATTAGGCCCATAACAGCTTAACTCAGCTTTAGGGGCCTGATCCTGCCCCAGCGAACACGATGGGAGGTCAGTTATCAAGCCACAGGAGGTAAGATAAAGGTCTGTACGAGTTACTATTTTTAACTCTTAAAGCTAGTCTTATTGGGCCCAGCCCAACTTCAGCTGAAGTCAATGAAAGGACTCCTGCTGACTTTAATGGGAGTTGGATTGGCCCTATTGTCCTTTGCTGAGCAAAGTAATTTCAAAAGGTCAGGAGGTGAATTAAAGGAGAAAAGGAACAACTGCATTGATAAGCTATATTCAGCCTGCTCACCTTATAAAGAAAAAGTATTGTCTTAGGTGGTGGGAGTAGTTCAAACTAGTCCTTGTAGACTCTGGCAAGGATAAAAAACTATGTTATTTCTCAAAATGAAAGTAAAAATAAAGTGAAAATGATAGTTGCTGAGTTCTGATTTGATGATCTCCCAGTGACTTCTATCTGCTCAATTTGCAGATGAAACCATCACCAAAGTTAGATGCCAATCTCCATGAAACCAGCTTAGGGCTGGTGTAATTCCAATGATGTTAATGGATTTCTTCTTGACTGACAATGCTGTGAGAGCTAAAATAAAGTGCTGCGTTTGCAATTGCTTTGGCTGCAGTTTGTCTTGGGCTGTGGACGTCTTGCTCCACTTTCAATATGGTTGCAGGTTTCATCTGCAGATGAAGCAAATTGGTTGTCAAAGTGGCAGGGGAAAAATGAGGAAGAGGAGGAGGATTAGTTAGTGAACCTATTGATGGTGTAAAAATGAGAGCAGTCCACAGCTAACTTTCCAAATGCTGCCTTGGTTTTGATGGACTGAGAAGACACAAAGGAGAGAAAACCTCCAGTGTGTTTTCCAGTTGAGCCTCTGTGAACCTTCTGGGTTTTGACTTACTTTGGGGCCTCTCCAAGTCAAAAAACTCGGGTCACAGGTTTTATCACCTTATTCAGCAGATGAAACGATAAAACGAAAAGTTGCTATTTTTACACAATACCTTTTCAGAGCCCAGTAGCATTTTAAATTGCAGACGTCTCCCTCAGAACAGCTCTCATGCACTAGATGTTGGAAGATGCTGCCGACAATCAACTTCACAAAAACGTTTCTTTTCCAGATTATCCCCCTTCCAGAATGCTTTTTAGGATCCAAGCATTATAAAACCTGCTGCCTATCTTGGGAAATGGCTGGAGGAGTTTGGTTTTGATTTTTAGCATTGTCCTCACTAAATGTTTCATGCTGTGAAATTCAGATAGTCTGCTCTCATATAGGCAGTAGCAATAGGAAAATTAAAGTTTACCTCTCCCCCCCCCCAATTTATTGCCATTTTCAATATTAAAAAAATTCTCTACCAAGCTGTGATGAATCAGACCCATCTTTCCAGCAGATGGTTAAAACTAAAGGGGGAGAAGGATGGCTTCTTTGGGCTTGTCCACGAAGCCCTCTGAGCAGTTCCCTTTGCAGGCAGGTTCACAGCCCGGCGCTCAGCAGGTTCTGGCCATCAAGGAGCTCACCCTTCCCTTCAACCTCGCCTCCCACCGGGCAGGAATTCAGTGCATGAGCAGAGGTCAGTGTTACTGCCATCTTGCTAAAGGCATCCAGCTTTCATTCACAAAACAAACCACTTCACTGACTTCAGGGCGAAAAGCAAGTAACCCGGCAGAAAAAACGCACAAAGATTGTCTATGAAGTGAGAACCAGTTTGTATAATACCAGTCGCAAAAGGGTTGAATCAGACATTGATATAATATATTTTTAAGCAGCTTCTTAAGTGAGAATCAAGGAAAGATTATTTTGCCCATGTCTAAGCTTAATGGCACACTTACACAAATAAGATGAGAAACTGCAGCTGCAGAGAACACTTGTGCTGCCTGTTGCAGTTTACAGAACAAACATTTGGGATCTATCTGGCTAATCATGATATATTTTTCATGTAATCATCTGTTTATGCTTCTTTGGTTTATATTTCATGGGACCGGGCTGTGTGCCAAGGGGCTGGGGGCTGAAGTCGGCAAACACCCCCCCAGACCCATGGGACCCTTGGCGGGACCCACAGCCCCAGCTGCCCCAGCCCCAGCCCCACATGGGAACAGGACCCCTGGTCCTCCTGCCCCCACACCCCTATCATCCCATCCTTTAGGATACAGGGTGCTTGGGCCATGTGGATTAAACCCTCCCTTTCTTCCCACAGCCCATCCTGTGCTGGAGCCATGGACCAAGCACACGCATGCAAGGACATCCATGTATGCCATTTAGCCTACATTTTAACCAAAAAACACGTGGGGGCTGACCCCCGGACCCACTTCCAAAAACCAGCCTTGAGAGCCTGCTAAAGCCTCCTGAAATACATGTGCAGCAGCAACCTGCTGCTACTTTTATAGTCAGAAGAAACAAACCCAGGGTGAAATTTTGGCTGAGCAGCCTTCCAGGCGCTGGGAAGGGCTGGCTGCAGACAAGATCTGCCGTCTTTCTCCCATAGAGGGAGCACAGCTTTTCCAGAAGACGCTGAAGCAGATGCACTTCTGTGGCCATAGCAAAGTCAGAGATGAAGGAAAGAGAAAATCCACAAAGATAGGAAAATAGGAAGCAGTGCCAAGGGAAAGGAAATGCAGAATGGACTTGGAGATATGGTTTAGTGGAGGACTTGTTAGTGTTAGGTCAGAGGCTGGACTCGGTGATCCTGGAGGTCTCTTCCAACCTAGATGATTCTGTGAGCCCACAAACACGCAGCCCCACAGCACTGAAATGCTCGTTACTCTGATGATCACTGAATTTACCCATTTTCCTGAATTATTGGCAAATAAATAGTATCGTGTCAATTCTTTCTTCTCCCTCAAGTAACTGTCCCCGCAGCTCCCAGGCCCCACAGTCCATAGGGTGGGTCCATGCCCAGGACCAGGAGGAGCAGTGCCAACCACAGCCACCTCCAGCTCCTCACAGCTCCCTCATGTTCAGACAGCCAGGGCCCTACCTCACCCTGAAAGCAGTCGGGTTGGGTTTCTGGTTAGAAATGAGGAGCCCTGTGGATTTTTTTTTTGCCCTGTTCAGCTCTATTTCCCAGCTTCAGCAGCGTTTGTGCAATAGTCATGAAGAACTCCAGTTACTTGGAGTGGGTGGGTGGGGTGAGAGGAAGCCAGGAAGACCTCCAAGGCCTGCAGCGGGTATCCCTGCCCTCACCATTTCCAACCTGGAAGGCCAACGTGCAGGGTCTGCAGCTTCTGCAGCTCCCAACAAACCCCAAAGGGCAGTGCTGCAAGCGGGACTGCTATGTGAGGCAGAATGCTGGCAAATCTGGTTGAAAAGGGCAAGAAAGCACTTCTCCGGGCAGTCTCTGTCCTCCTGGAGATGTTTGCTTCACCCACAGCCTCACGGGCTGTGATGTCCCAGCTCATGCACTTGTAGAGAAATTATTTTTCATCCTGTATGGAGCTGTTACACGGTACAAATGATTCGCTTGCGTCTCGGACTCTTTCAGCCAGAGCCTGGAGGCCTTTTCCCCATTTTGGGCATGTTAAGTCCCATGAAGGTGTCAGGGATAGCTGAAGGAGATAAAGCTATATCCCAGAGAGGCTGATGGTTGCTGTGTTGGCAATTTTTTTCCTTTCCCCAGTCATTTTTAGGCAAGCCAGGATGTTCCCATCTCAAATCTCTGCCTAAAAGCAAAGGCCCAAGTTGCTTAATATTCTGGGTGTTGAGGGAAATTCAGATCCCTGCAGTGGGATATGTGCCTACAGAAACCCTTTGTACTATTTGAGACTCTCCATAACATTTGAGTGGATTCAAATTTTCTCTCTCTTTTTACAATAGCAACATGAGAAAGTGCAAAGCCTCACGTATCTGATGATTGCACGAGTGGGATTTGGGGTGTGGGGGGGATTATTTCAGTCTGATCTTTCTCCATTATTTTTTATTTAACTCTACATTCTTCTGTTCAGCTCTCTTTCAGTGAAAAGTGCAAACAAAAAGAAGTGTGTTGGGAACAGCACGTGGAGGGGAAGGTCCCCAGGACACTGTGGGTGCTGGTGGCACCCAAAGGAGCCAGCTTTGCTGATGGTCTGGGGGAGGAATGTCCTCGTGTTATGGGACGGTGATGGATAGCCACCCGCCTCTGGAAACGCCAGGTCTACGCAGACAAAAAATAAATCTCATACGAAATACGTGCTTTCATGGATCATCTAGCCAAGGTGAACTTTTTTTTATATCGTATTGCACACTAGGAAATAAAAAGCAAACTGCACTGACAGTGCCCTCTCGATGGCAGATCTTTATGTGTTTTCCAGAGTCTTTAATTCTCTTACTTCAGAGCCCCTCTCGCTGTGGATTTATGATATGTTTCCTGCCTCCCTCCTCCTCATCTGTTCCCCCAGCTCTCTTACTTGAACTACTTTAAAGTGACATGCTGACACAAACCCATGCGATGGAAGCTCTGGACTGCTTGCTGAGCCTTTGCAAAGGCCACCAGACACACAGAGAGGACAAGGAACATGCAGGTGACATCCTGAAGGACGTCTTGAGCAGCAGAGCTCACCCATCCTGCAGAAATGGCAGCGAGTTTCTCAGCAGCTCCCCACTGCTGCCTTTCTGCTGGGCAGAGCTTTTGGAGGAGTCACAGTTCTCAGGGCTGTGTCCATTCACCTCTGAAATGATGGGGCTGTTCCCTGTAGCCTTCAAAGGGATGCAGGTAGCCCAGCTGCATCATTTTAGGTAAATTTCTTGTTCCTCGTTAGGGCAGCCATAAGCTAAATCTCAGGTGTTCCCCGTGTAAATGTGGAGCCACATCTGGAAAAGCTTCCTTCTGCCAGAGTCTGGACTTTCTCTGTCCCTTCATCCCCACATTCGGGATGCCACAGCTACGTGATGTTACAGTTATTATAGCCCTTCTCCCTACCTACCAGTAGAGTTTAAAATTTAAAAAAAGAGTATTTTCACCATAATACTTTTCAAATATTTATGTGAAAACATAGATCTGCTTTTTGATCTTCTTGTAAAAGCACTTGCCAGAAGTTGTCTATAAGGAGATGAAGCATTTCCCAGTGTTAGCATTACTCTTAGAGCTCACTATCAAGATTAGCAAGGGAGCAGTTCTTAAAGAGGGCCCTGGAAAGTCATCACAAAACTTCAGTGCTGTGGGAGCACACCCTCACACACTTTTGCAAGGCACTGTGTATTTGGATTATTTCAAACATCTGCCACCTACAGTAAAAATAGTCATTGATAAAACCAGTTCAAACACAGCGCAATGTGTTTTGGTCCTTTTATTTTGCAGCACAGACCAGCCATTATTTTAAAAGAATGAAGCACAACTTCCAGAGCTGCAAACTCATGTCTGCAACTGTATCACTGGTTTTAAATAGTAGGTACCTGTACTTCGAACATTTTGCCTAATCCCTCGGAGTCTGCATGTGCTTGTGCATCCTACAGCATCCTGCAGCAATGAGTCCCACAGAGCAACTCCAAGCTGTACAGAAGGGTGCTGCCTCTTGCTTCCACTAAACCTCCTGTCTGGAAATTTCACAGGGTCCCTTTGAATTCTCATATATATCATATCACTGTTCCCCATCCATCTTCTCAACATCATCTTACAGCAATCTGGTGACCTGCCAGGGCTCTTTGAATGTACATAAAGAAGCAAAATCTTAGATGGAAACAGTTCAGAGGTTCAGACTTCCATACCATACTTAAGCCACCAAGGGAATAAAGGTAAACCCAGTTTCAAAGGGACCATAAAACAGGAGAGATGGACAGTCTGCCTGAAATCTCTTTCAAGTGCATCATGGTTGTAGGCACATTTCCGTGGGCCAAAGGCCTTTTCCATGCTTTTTGGTCAACTAAAACTGGATACACATCTATTAACCCAGAAGGACAATTTTCTGAAGAGTTTGCTCATGCAAATAGCAGACTTTGTCTTTCCCGTGAGCACAGGATAGGGGCAAATGCTCACAAGGTGAATGCTGACACCCACCCAGGTTCATTATCAACTGTGGGCTAAGCAAGGGGTGAGTAGGACCACATGTCTATGGTGCAAATCTTTGCCCATCTGGCTTTGTTGTTGTTGTTTTTTTTTTCTGTGTTTTTTTTTTTTTCTTTTTTTTGGTGACATGGCCCTCTGTAGGTGGCACTGTCTGGGTATGAATGGCTGAAGCCAGAAGAATATTAAATTTTTCACATCGTGCTAACTTGGTAGTGTACAGCTGGGATAAGTCTTGAGTGCATGTTTCTTTCTGCAGTTCACAGAAGGGACACTCAGCTTTGCAGTCAATATCAGCTTTACAGTCACTGGAGGCTTTCAAGATGTCTTTCGAGATATTTTGCAAGCATTAGATAGAAGGCTTTTGTTCTCTATTTATGTGGATGGGAAAAGAGAGGCAGAGTGGTGAAGTTATGTGCTACAGCACAGCAACTTGTTACTCCCACCAGGGGGTGACATTTCCTCTCTCCTCTCCTCGCAACGAAGAGGAAGAGAAGAAGAAAGCAGTAAGTCCTCTCCTAAGAGAAGTAGAAGAGGAATCCACGGCTGCGAATCCTCTCCTATCCGCCTCTCCTAGATCCTATCATAGCCTTATCTACCCTCTCTCCTCGCCTTAAGACAGTCTCCTCCCCTCTCCTCCTCTCCTTCTATCTACGTCTCTCTCCTTCCTCTCCTCTCTCTCCTCTTCCTCTCCTCTCTTCCCCTCCCAACCTACCACCAGCAGCCTGCTGACACCCTATAATTGTCCACAAGTGGGGCAGTCTGAAAGGCACTCTTTGAATCACAGCCTTTCATGTCTCTGGCAAATGGAAAAGCAGACATCGATATATGATGAATATAGTGAGAATTGTATTCTAATTGGAAATAAGACGTATATTACCTTGTACTGGATCAAATAACATGAAGGATTAAAATGGCTGTGCTGAATAATTGAGATCCCAGTTGTATAATTTTTCCTATCATTTTAAAGTCATGCCACGGAACCAGCAATATTCCACTAATAAAAAAAATGTTGCTCATAAAAAGGAGAAATATCAAAGAGCCATCGGTGAATAGGAGCATTAGAGAGAGACGCAGAAATTTTCCCACTCCTCACCTTTCTGCGTGTGCAAGTACCAGGCTATTAAGCTTTGATTCTTTCAGAAAATTCCAAAGACAGAGAAATTTGTGGCAAGCAGCTGCTGTACTCATACAGGCACTTCAGGTGTATGGCAGGGCTGGAGATTTTCTCGTCACCCTTCCACTCTTCAATGCCACATGCAATTGCGGTGCTGTGCAGTGCAGAATTAGCAAGGACTGGCAAAACTCAGCTTGATAACCTGAGCAATGGCTGCATCCAGCTGCACACCTGGGGGTTCAAAACTAGTATTTATGAGGGTTAGGCCAAAATCATCCAAAGGGATGGTTTTCTAAATCTAGGTGTTAGTAAACAGATTCCTGTTTGTCCTCGGTACTGCACGAAGCAAAGGGCTGTAGCCATAGGCATGCCTGAAGCCTCTGTGTCATATTACCAGTAGCTTGAAATTCAGACTGCAGCCTCTTTTAAAAGATAGTATTTTTCCAGAAGTGTTTATTTTAAATTTAGAGCTGTTATTGTTATTTCTGCTCAGTGGTGTAAAAGTCCAGTTGGAAGAGTTTTCTTTCCTCTGCATTGAGGTTGAAAATTCCTGGAAAGCCATGACAATATTCGGCATTCATGATTACACAGACAGACATATTTCATGAAAATTGCATAGCCTTTTAATACAGGATTATGAATGAGCTCTAATGTTGAAATTATATTAGATTGAATTTCAGAACGTATTTAACATATTTCCATACAGCAACCTTGGGATGTCTTTTCAATAACAGTGATTATTACGGGCAGGCTGTTTTTTATGAAAACATTTGTTCAGGGTGGACAAGGCTTCCTGAAAAATGTTGTACATCTTTATGGCTGACGTTTTAGTTGTTTTGAATTAACTTTTTTCACAGCCAGAATGAAACGTTTCACCATATAATTCTTCATGCATGTCTTCAAACAAACCTGGAGACTTTGCTGTGAATTTTCTGAACTGTAACACAATCTTGGGTATGAAAACGCTTTGTGAGCTGGAGGTGAGCATTTTGTCCCAAGTTATCCCGTTACTCTCAAAACATAAATATTCTTAGCTAACGTCTGGCTTTTAAAAGCAGCATTTCCCTCAGCTGATTTGAAGGCATCTCTAAGTATCATCTTGTAAACAACCCCAGCCTTACTCTTCTGCAGCCCTTACTCTGTTGTCTGCTTGGCCCACGAATCACAGTGAGGACAAGCTCTTTGGTTCCTGAATCGAGTGGAACAGAGGCCAGATTTTTCCTTGCATAATGGCAAACACATTAAGATGATGTATCGCCCAGCATAGCACATACATTTGGAAAGCAAATGCCAATGGGACAATCTCTGGGACTCCCAACCTTTGGGATCTGCCTGTAGGCACCTCCCAGTCTGTCTTCATGGCTGCTAACCTGGTGTGGCTCAAAGACGGCCACCTGGACCAGTGGCTTAGTGCTGCCATTTTGTCCTTTCTTCCTCCCTTTCAGGAAGTGGCAGAGCTTGTATTCCATTTCCATTAATATCTGTGGCTTAAAATGTAGTTAACTTGGAGATGTATCCACTAGGTAAGGCTCAAAGTCAGGGAGCATGTGTTTGGCAGTTTATATGTTCTCTGCCAGGGCCGGTGGACTTGCTCCTCTGTCCTCTCTTGCTGCCTTTAAGAGGACGTGGGTTATCGGGCTGTGTTGATGCTGGTTTTTTGCCTCTCATTCACACTGGTGGTGTCAGTCGGAAGCAACCCTACAGAAAACACTTACATTGTGCCAGCGCAAGGCACTGAAAGGCTTTCCCTCAACCATTAGCAAGTTTGATGGCTCTCATTAGTTCAGTCATTGGAGAAAAGAGATGTGTGTTTCCTACACTGGTGGTATAAATGCTCCCCTCACTTTTATACTACTGGAAGAAATGTGTATTTTCAGGGGTAAAACAGTAATCCATTCACGGCATGCTTCTGAAACCAACCCTATTTTATTCACCTCCCTGAAACGGTCAGAGCTGTGTAACTGGATGCCACAGCCCCTATACTCCTAACACCTAATAGAGATTCTTTGAAGGGATGTTTTGAAGACATTTGAAATAGGAAGCTATGTGCCCTATCCTCACTGCTGTTGTGAAACTCTAGGTGAGCCCACATAGATGTGGATTTTTATTACAGTTTAACATTGCTGAACACCAGCTTGCTGGTTAAGAATGGGCTGAATCATCTAAAACTGGCTTTTATTTTTGCCCTCTAACTTGACCCGCAGAATGCACCTACTAATTAAATATCAACAGGAAACAAATGTCTTCACCAAGTGAAAGCAGTTATCTATGGCAATTTTGGTTTGTGGTGAAAAAGCAAGGATAAAAACAGCCCACAGACAGAAAGTCGCATACACTTATAACAAAATAATGTTATAAGCTTCTATGTGGCCACCCAGATAGGGATATAATGGCTGGAGATGCATGGTTTCTCCAGAGCAGATTTGATAACCTCTAGGAGACCACGCTGTTTCAGCTGAGCTGTCCTCAGGTAGGACAATTCCCATCCCCTTAAAATGACCAGGCTTGGTCTGTCAGCAAGCAGAAGCAAAGCTCTGCATCCCCCTCGGTCAGTCTCGGCCCTGCAATGCAATGCAAAAGGAAAGGAAAACTGTATAATAAAGTGCCTCCGTTTGCACCGATAGTAGGAACCTTTCTCACTTTTTGTCTTGCTACTCTGTATCAACTTCTCAAGGATCCATTTCTTCCATTTCTGTGGTTTTGTGGGTTTTTGTTTGCTTGTTTGTTTGCTTGATTTTCCCACTAATGACTTAGAAGGAAACCTGGCTTGGAGAAATCCCCACAGCCTGAACAGCTGAGCCAAATGAAAGATGAAATAACATACCTGAAGGGCAGAGGGAAACCGACCATCCCACGTGGCTCCTGGGTGTAGGAAAAGTGCTGCTCCTCTACGGCCAACACGCTTTCAGACGTAACCCACTACTGGGCACTGTCTCAACCTTTGAAGAAATCACTTTCCACTGTAAACATTGACTGCAGTCAATGCAAAATATTTATTCCTCTCATTTGAGGATCCCCCACATGCTTTGAGGTATTTGAGTTCGTAAGTGAGAATACCAAATATTATTCCTGCTGCATGTACGTCAGTCAGCTCTTGGATGCCCTCCCTCTATGTCATGGTGTCAGTAAGGATGAGTTAAGCTGCCCTTTGGCCAGGCTGCTGTTTGGTTTAAAACATTAGATTTGGGTGTTGCTAAAAGCACCTCCCACCACCGCTGTCCTTGTTTTCCAAAGTAAACAGCCTCTGGCGTCTTGTGACCTGAACAGCCCCAAGTGTCTGACGTTGGAAAACAAAAAATATTTGATTTGCAAAGAAAATCTGCAGCCTAAATGATTTGGGGCACTGCTTTCCTTCCTCAGCAGGATGCTGGAATGTCCAGGCTTGGGTAGGATCTGCTTACATGCCACAGAGGTACACAGGAACGTATTTGCCCTTTAATGATATATTAGGCAATGGTTTTGAGCTGGCAGGCTACTAAAAGCCCTAGCCAAACAAAGATAAAATTGCAATTTATCAACAGAGAATACTGAATTCATGGTCACTTGTGACTGCTGGACTGGTGCTAGCCCACAAAGCTGGAGTTGGCAGTACGGAGACAACATTTCTGAGGTTGTTTGGATTATTTTTCAGTTTAGGAAAAAGCTTTTCACATCTTTTTCCTAGAAACTGTTCAAATTAGAAGCTAGGTAAAGAGATCGCCTTTCTCAAGATCCACATCCATTCCAGCACCACTGATGTTCTCAGGGATACTGCCACAGTGATCTCTGGGAAGTGGCACCAGCAACAACTAATTTCACAAAAAAACAGTGAGCAGCAAAGAAATGGGAAGGGATGCTGGCCGTTACAGACCCAGCCAAATGTGAAGTGGTGCTCTGGAGGTGAAAGGCTCTCGACGCCATTACAGACCTTCTAAGTTTCCCAGTCCCAGGAGTGTGCTTTCAAGGGAAGAAAAACCTGTTTCAGATCATGCCAGATATTTTCTGCACTGCCCAGCAGTTATACCTGAGGATGTTCTCCAGATGTTCGCATTTGTATGAAACATACAATAATAAAGCTGTAAACTGGAGGAGACAATAGCCAGACTGCAAGAAGAAGGAGCGGCCTGGAAAAACATGAAAACTAACTAGCCCACACACAAAATCAACTTGTTCATTTTAATGGGATGATAAAGACACATTTTATTCGCTTTTCTAAAGAACTACTTTTCCCTGCAAAGTGGGCAAACAAAAATTGCTAAGGTTCTTCTATTGCCTGCAAGGGATTGCTTGTTTTTTAGGGAACAGCGAGTCCTTGCACCAGGGCAGACAAGAAAGGAGACGTGTGGAGTCTGAAACCATATGAAATCCCAGTTCTGACAGTTTTTAGACTACAGTGAGAAGAAAAAAAAAAACTACACCATTGTCTGTAGTGCCAGCTACTGAAAAATAAAAGAGAATAAAACCCCTGCAGCAAGTGAAAAGGAAGGTGATGGAAACAGATCTGCTATATGAAAACAGTAAAATTTTCTGGCTAGAAGAATTTAGACCTCCGATATCATCTGTACCGAAGCTATAAAGAGCACTAAATGAGATTGCCCTGGCTAAGACATCTGCAGAGTGAAATGTCTTCAGTGTTCGAAAGCTGTCTAACAAGAGGTGAATAAAACAGGAGTTTGAAACTGGGAGCTTTTTCTTTTTTTATTTCTGGAACCGGTTCTCCTTTTCTACTGGCCTACGTTGGCCAAGCGAAAGGTCTAAGGCTGGCTATAAGTCCTAGGAGGTCTCTGGGGAAGGTCTCTGAGTGTACTATTTCTGCTTAATTTGGGCTGCTCGAGCATGTCCTGATCCCAAAAACATGTGGACATAACTGAGACCTTTTTGCTTAGTGCATTTAATATTACACTGGTGGCCTGTATAAGGTTTTCAGGATGTCACATGCCTCTGCCGCATGGAGTTTGGCCATTCCAGTAATTTGGCTGATTGTAGTGCATTTAGAAGTACTATCTTGCTTTTTTTTAAAAAAAAAGAAAATCATGGCTTTGATCTGAAGAGCAGTGTCAGGCCCTGTAGAGTATCAGTTCTTTTTATAAGAAGAAGGAGCAAGCCAGGATGGAAGGCAACTATTCAAATACGCCGGCTTAAACATTTTTGCAGGTTTATTTTGGTACCTGTAGGTGGCCTCATTTTAATAGTCAATAAACCAAGAGCTATCAGTTCAATGAGTTAAGCAATGTTTTTTCTTGTTCTACAGAATTTGGAAGCTGATAAATTTGCTTCCAGTGCCACTTAATGCTTGCCCTTTCTTTCTGTATACAAATGGGTACTGGATGCACTGATTCCAATGCCAAAAGTGCAGGCATCTGCTTTGTTTGCATCCTTACAGTCCTTCAAGGATGAGAAGGATGAGATGATGAGATGTTGAAAGTCTGAGTTAGGCCCAGTAAAGTAGCCTGCATCATCTACTTCCATCCCCTCACAGACCATGGTGGAAGGAGCAGAGAACTCCTGGCTGTGCACTGACATTAACCACAGGCACTTTGTAACATACTTAGCAATAAGAAAAATGAATATAAATCACATATTCTATGAGAGAAGGTTTAACCTCATGTTTTACCCAATTTGGTTGGCTAAATGGCTAAGTGACCGAGATGTTTCTGTACCATCAGTAGACTACCAAGAGCTGCACTGCACATGGTGCTTGGGAGGATGTGTCCTTCAGCATCGCTCCGACAGAAGACTCGACTTAGCATGTTGTCTTATTGAACTGAGGGAAGAAGCCATTCTTTGGGGTGAGGAAGAGAGGAAACGAAATGGGGCATAACTAGTGGCTCAGAGAGCTCCACTTTGGGCACTGTTAAAGGGCACTAATGTCTTGTGCATCATGCTAGCATGTTGGGCAGGCCCAAGGGTCATTGCCACCTCTGGCACTGGGCTGAAATTGGGTGCTTCAGCTTTACCTTGCCTTTTAATGAGAGAGGACAAAGTGTTTGGACACCACTTACCTGCAAGTACAAATGAGAGGCCAACACAGTTCTTCACAAGCTCCCACTCCCTTCTTGGAGTGATGCCCTTGCTGTATAAACCCAGATGGCAGTCTATCACTGCCCACGCAGGGTATGTATGCTGTAGCTGCTGTGGTAAGGCCCCACTTTTAACCACATACACATAGGGAGTATTTTTAGCATAGCAAAGCCACCCAGGGTACCCAGATGTGTGTCCCATTTCAGCAGGTACCAGTTGGGCCATCAGTCCAGGAGCATCAAACCATCACCGGTCTGAAAGGGAAATGCAGGCCAGAGGCAGAGGCTAAAAGGGATTAATTTTTGGACTAATGAAGATTATATTAAACTGTTAAAATAAATCTGCAGTGTGTCCTAGGACACCCTGCAATGTTTAAGGCCAATTAGCGTGTGAATCAATCTTGCATTAACACCCAGGTCCCCTCAAATATAACCATGAAGCAGGTTTGAAAAGAGCCTGCAAGCTCTTCCCTTCCCTTGCACCCATCTTTCAAAGCCTGCTGCTGACTCGATTTACTGAGCGGCATTACCCTGCTGCCCACAGGGCATTCCCAACCTGCATCCTTAGAGATGGAGCCTTGTCAAAACCCAGATTTCCAGCCAAATTTCTTGGCCGCAGACCAAGACCGGGCACCGCAGGGCTCCTACAGCTTGTCTGCCACTCGCCAGCCCCCACACCGAGTCATTCGGAAGCGGCCAAATCTTTTGCTAAGGTGAAAGCTGAGCCCTTCTCTAAACATTTCCCCCTCTCTGCTGGGCCTGGATGCTTGTGATATTTTCCCAGAGGCTGGTAAATGCGAGGCAACCTGGTACCCTGTGGTTCTGTGCCCCTACCAGAAAGCTGCCTGAGATAAAGGGCTGCTATCCAGGCTGCTATCCAATATTTGCAGTTAAAGGAAAGCAAGAGAAAGCAGCTCCTATGCTGCAGCTATGGGCACATAAACCTGATGAAAAAAAAAAAAAAAAGAAAGAAAAAAAAACGGCCCACAAACAAAAACAAATAAATGAGAAAGGAGAATGGAATTATTTATAAAGAAATTTATTTTCTATTTGTGTACAACAAATATATGAAACAAATTTGATTTGAAAAATGTATATTTGATTTCTTAAAAGTATTGAACTCTTTTAAGGAAAGGTTTCAGTTATTAAAAAGGTACTGAAGGCTAAAATTATACTTGGATAGATATATATGCGTGTACGTATATATATATAAAAAACATGTGCAATTTTTTATATATATAGTATATATAAATAACATGTGACATGATGTTTTAAGGTATCCTATTTAAACATCTGAGTAACAATAGAGATATTATAAAATATAGTTTCCTATTTCTACAGAATTTGCATTCAGTTTTCATAAGCATCTAGACAGTGCAAAATGTAAAGATACAGAAAAAGCTCCCAAGTTTCCTCTGTCCTGATCATAACCAGACTGAACGAAATTTGGAGGGTTCAATACCAGCCCTTACTAGCGTCTTCGAAAAGCAATAAAAGGAAATCTGTCTTACCTTGACCTGTGCTATGCTATAGTTTGCGCACAAGAGAGAACAATGCATTTCCTATGTTAAATGGTCTAACTCCCAGAGATCACATACACCTCACCATATTGACTCATTTCATTGCACTCCATATCCTGCAAAAATAAATCTCCTGTAGGACAGCATACATTACTGCATACTGAAGTTTAAGTAATATATTTCTTTAACATAAGGCAGAAATATACTGAAATTTGATAACACTTAAATCCAACAGCAATCTGGAATTAAACCACATTTATGTACCACATTTTTATAGATGCTGCCTTTTTTACGTTTATGTCAGAAAATGTGGTAGAGAAAATCTACTTTACTTTAAATAAAAGCGAGGGATAAGAGCAGTCCCTCTACAAGAAATTGCTAAAAAGCAATGGGACCAGGAGAAATGCAACTGCCTTGAAGCAGCCAAGGTCAGTCGGCATCAGCCTCTCCTCCTGCTGATGAGCAATTCCTTGCGTGACACCTGGGGGAATACTCACGCGAGTAGGTGCTCACCACCACAGAGCCCAAGTGCTTCAGCCCTGAATATTTATCATCTTTAATTATTTGCATCTATTCTATGTTAAGGTACTGTATGCTTTTTTTTCATGCAGTTCTTATGTCATCAAAAAAAAAGGCGATTCTGGCCATTCTGCATGCTTTTACAGTTGCTATATTTTAATCGAAGGATGTTTGTACTTTAGGTAATGTGTTTATTATCACCGACATAAAAACCTCAATCCTGCTTCCATAAAACTCTGTGGTTGTTTTGCACCTCCTGGAAATAAAATTAGATTCAAACCTGTTAGTTACGCAGTTTGCTAATAAAAGTAACTACTATATTCATTAAGTCTCGCAATACTTAAAGGCAAAGCGGTGTCAGCAAATACTGTGTCTTAACAGCTTAAAGAACAGCATTATGCACAATTCAAGGCAAACTTATCCAACAAAATCTAAAAGCAGCTGTGAAAAGCATCTTATGGGACAGCAAATTTCACTACATGATAATTGTTGCAGGCTTTTTTCAATTTTTTTTTCCTTAAACCAACCCCCTCACTCATGTCCTACGTTGCAGTTGCCCAAAATGAAGGCTCTGCCCTTGTAGGCAGCACACATCCAGGCCAACTACACCTTAAAACTCTGTGTTTCCAGAGGGTCTCCCTCTTCCTGCTGCACTCTTAAACTCCCTTTTAGCAGAAACTGTCCTGTTTCTGAAACCTTGACGGGATAAAGAGCCCAGTGTCAATCTGCATCTTCTTCAGTTCTCCAGTTTATCTCTGCACTTGCCCATATAATGGCCCCCTGCAGATTTCAGCTTTCATTCAGATTTCAGGCCTCAGAAGAAGACAAAGGCTCATTAGTAGCCTGCATAAGTGAGCCTTACTAGTTAAAAACCTTGATTTAAATACCAAACAAAAGGGAAAAAATAGATGCTGAGACAATGTTTACACCCTTTCAACCACACCCTTGAAATGTTGGCAGGGAATTAGCCAAAGGATGGGCTTTACATCTGATCCATCTCTTCTAGTTGGGAAGGAACAGCCATAAATACAAGTTTTTGCAGGGTGCGGCTGATACCGGGAGATGGCTGAATACATATGACCAAAGGCTGCATGCCTCACAAGTCAGAACAAAGCGTAGATGTGCTGGGAATTCAGGATTTCTTATGCCCAGAAGTTTCCTATAAGCTGGAGATAAACACGATTCCCGTCTCCCACACAAGGATTACTGTTCAAACCTAGAGCAATGCAGCACTAAGGAGAAACTAGTAACTCATAGTGCCAAAGCCTCTTGAGTTAAGGGTACCTTAAAGCAATCTATTAAAAAAAAATAAAATAAAAAAGAAAGAAAAGAAAGAAAAAAAGAAAACCTGTGGAGTCAGTCAACACGTTTTTCAACCCAATAATATAGTAAAATGCACTGGCAGGCAAGGCCTCAGTTCCAGAAAGGAGAGGAAGAAAAAGGATGGTGCAAAATTCTTCCTTCATACGTTTACACATTCTTAGGATATAAGGTAGCAGGCAACTTAGCAAACATTCCTTGTAAGTTGTGTGGGATCAGAGCAGCTTTTCGTGGGGCTTGCGCTGTCCTACAGCTCAGCTTTGCCTGTCGGGGCAGGACTGGTGCTACTGCTGCCTTCCCCGGCGTTGCTCTTCTCTGCTGGTTTGAAGGATAAGGAAGCGGAGTTTGTGCAGTACCGTTTGCCAGTTGGACGAGGTCCATCATCAAAAATGTGCCCCAGGTGAGCCCCGCACTGGAACAAAACACAATAGAGGATCACTGGGTTTCTGCACAGCTCGGTGGCGTCACAGCGGCGTTAAGCAATGCCGAGCAGCTGCTTCCAGGAAAGCACATTTCGGTGCCTACATCACCCTTTTGGGTGGGATGCACAACCCACATTTAGTGACGAGACTGATCTGGGAAGATGATCTTCTGAGATATCACCGGCGCCTAAGACTTAGAGCCCGAATTTCCTGCATGTTTCACGTCGTGTCACTGCACGTGTTCAGCTGGGTGAGCCCAATGCTCACCCCACGCTACTTTCTGCAGCGTATAGGGGACAGGGACACGTAGCTGAGCAAACACTGCTGCTCCTGCCTGAGAGAAAGGCACAGTCCTCTGCTTTGCAGAAGAGTACAACACTTTGAAGAACCTGATCCAGTTGGTCCTTATGCAGAAATGAGGATTACTCTCACTGCACATTACGGCTGACAACATATCAGGATAATAAGAGCTTCTTATAATTAGTCACTTGAATTCCTCAAGTTCATTTTTACAGCCTGCCGTGAGAAATAAAAAAATAAAACCTTGTGCTGGAGAAATATTTATCTTGAACAGGAAAGTCATGCTGCTTTCCTAAAGAGCTTTGGCCTTTCAAGTCAATAGCTGATCTCAGTGAGAGCTGGCATGGTGTAACCGAGATCACAGCGCTGTTAGTGGGCTCGCAGTCAGACAGCAAAAATTAAGGACTGCAAATTATTCTTAAGGTTTAATTAATTCATAGCATCCCAAATACATAGAGGCAATACTGATTGCTCTGAATGGTGAATGAGTTAGTGACAGCAACCCTCTACCCTGCAGTTAATGTGCAGCTAATGTTCCCTGCTGTTCCTGCTTTTAATTCACCAAGGCAGCAAGAGGGATGTCTGCAGACGCAGGTAAGGTCTTGGCTTCGGACTATGCTCTCTCAACAGATTCAAAGTCTACAGGAGGCTCTCACACCAGCAGGGAGGGACAGGAGCTCTTTGGGCTTAATGGCAGCTAAAGCTGCCACAACCACATCCCAGGGCAGGCTCCCAGCTCCCAGAGACGAGCTGCTGGCACAGCTTGGGCAGCCAGCCAGGACCCCAGAAGCACACTGGGGAACACTTCTAGACCATGGCATCAGCAGGATGAGCTCCCCAGGGCGATGGGAAAGGGCACAGATGACTCTGGGTTAAGAAGCAGCTGCTCGGCTTTGCAAGGAAGGAAGACAAAACAAGGCAAATGGGAAAAGGCAAAGGAAAGTTGCATGGGAAGTGCAGAAGACAAAGCCTGTTGTTCTTGAAAGATCACTGTTTTACAACCCTTTCCTCCATATGCCACCTCTTATTTCATTTTCCTTTATACTGGAGGCCCTTTTTTGGGCAGTTTTGGCAGAAAACCTGAGGCATTTCTCAGAGTGGAGTTTCTCACAATGGGGCACTTCACCTGATTAAAGCTTTTCCATACCTTGAAAAAAAAATCCGAAGAAACTTAGTGTCCCAGAGAGAGCATTTTTCTAAATGCTCAGCATCCTAATTAAATCATCTCAACTAAGAATGCTTCAAAACCTCCTGGCCAGAAGTGTTAAACAGATCTTTTCCAGATTAACATTTACCCAAAGATAAATCATTCCCTCTCCATTGGACAGAAACAGAACAAGAGAAACCGTAGAGAGAAACAGTCTGCAGGAGTAATATGCTCACAAACATATAGACTACGAAGACAATCTATCAAAAAGGCTTTCCTCACAGAACTTGAAAAGCTGTGCTAGAACTCGAGGTAGTCTCATTACACCTTCTTGTGATGGCAGGATCACACCAGGATTGGATTACTGCAAAATTTGTTACCTTTTGAGATTACCCCTCACCAAAAATTTATGTGGCGATTCTCCCTGTAGAGGACTCTATAACTCATCTGCCCTGAAAAGGAACGTAATTCAGCCCTCTGTATCACACCATAAGAACACTGGTTCTCGGCTGAGAGTACAAAGGATGAATTGATTTTTACCGTCCTCCCCACACAGAGTAGGTGCTGACCATTTTTCTAGGACGTACATACACGTCTGTAAAGCCTCCCCAAAAGAAACAATCGTGCGTCACAGCTTTATATATAAATATCTTGGGCAGAATGCACTGGGGTGGTTAAATGGTTAGAGTAAAGCATCTGAAATATGTGTTTAGGAGCAGGAAAAGGGGGGTCACTGCTAACTGTCAGTATGCTTGGATCTCAAGCCTCCTGGTTCTAATAGGCTGCAGGGAGGTGCAGAAATTAGCTTGCAGACAGTTCCTACAACCTATTCAGAGCTATCGGTGTGCAAGCAATACTTCTCCAACTACAGAGTTTTATTGGCTTTTACAGGTATAAATAATACTTAGGGAGACCTCAGGGGAAGGAATTCTTGAGCAGGAAAGAGAAAAAAGAGAGAGAGATGCAACCATTTTTACATTATTCCTCAAATGCATTAGCAATTAACTTCCACCTGCCACTAACCATTTTACCTTTTAAATACATCCCGGGTAATGTGTTTCCAAAAACATGTAAAAGCAATTTCTAGGATAAGCCCATAGATGTCTTTTCTTTATATTATGGCAGTTTTCCCCCATTGTTTATTTTCTATAATGCAGAAGATTAAAAGTGAGGTTTTTTAGTCTCCCAGACTGGTGGGAGGACTTTTAAAGAAAAGGCAGCTACTTTTTCATCTGCAAAAGATTAATAAGGCTTTGGGTGCAGGAGAGGGTACTTCCCTCCAGTTTTACTAATGCCTGCCATATCAATCCCCGTGCATTTCCAAGCTGCAGTAAAACTGTGAGTTTCGATTGTGCAATTCACAGTCCTAGGGCTCCGAGGAAAGGAGGAAATGGTTTTGTTATGGATACACAATGTGGTGGTATTAACCGTGCTGAGCGGTGGCTGCAAAGATGTTCACCACTCCTCGAGCTATTTTCCTGTGTGACTCGATCATCTGTGGGGTTATTGCACCAGGAAGCCAGCGTAACTGCTCGGAAGTTGCCAATGGATTATATAGCAACTCTGGTTGTATTCTTTTCTTAATGCTGTAAATTCACTTTTTGGTTTTGCTCCAAGTTTATGGTGTCTGTATGTGCCTGCTGCTAATGCTACGGGTCTCAGGTCTGCTAGTGCTATTTTGTTTGGCAACAGGTAAATGGCACTCCCAGATTCCTTGTCCTGACCACAGGCTGCCTTGGGTTCGCTCTGGTGAGCCGAGGAGCTGTGGCCGTCTCTTGGAGGGCATCAGCAGATACAGGCTCAGCAGGCTGGTAGCACACTTGTTTCAGCACTGTTCAGCCCTGCTAAGCAAGGGTGAAGGAAGTGGGTTACATTTTGTGTTATTCCAGTAATTACTGGTGAAGCAAGAGGTTCCTAGCCCGTGGGAATTTAGGGAAACTGATGTTCCAAAAAATTGTTAAATGGATCTTCATTCTCTTCAAGAATATCATAAATGTAAAAACTACAGAATGATGTAGTACACAAGACATTAGCAGACATGCTGTACTGGGCCAGACCCTCTGCCTAGACTGCAGTTAGTGAATTCTCCATAAAGATGCTGCTGCTTCTTTTCAGGAAGCTTCTTGACTCACTCTAAGCATTTATATACGAGGACTGATTGGCAAGTAAGATGCGTAGCATCAGAGCCAAAATCAGTTATCCCACCACTGTCTGGGAAGAGAAGAGCAGATTCTCACGGCCCAGATGAAGCTACTGCTCCTCTCAGAGGAATGTGAGCGTGTGGAGCTAGAGGGCTGCAAGCTGCTGGGTACATCTGCCGAATGCCAGAGCAGCAGCTTCTCCCTCTGCCAGGTAATGACCACGCCATACCCTTTGTGGAGAGGAAGGCAGCACAAAGGGTGGGAGGAAGTCGAATGAGACAGATAACGGAAAATTTGGGCGTGATTTGAATGACTACTGACTTCATTAGTACGGCAGACAGGATTGTTTGAGGCAGCTGTGAAGACTGAGCTGGGAATGAGTGCTGGGAACGAGTTAGCACCGCTGCGTGGTAATGCACAGTGATGGAATCGGCACACAGGCAGGCGCTCTGCTGCTTCCAGCTCCCATCTCAGCTGCTCACATGTGCAGCCGGTCAGCCAGGCGCAGGAGTTCCTTTGAAGGGACCCTCTTCAGGAAGACAATTTCTGTAGACTCAGCGCCGAGCCCGGCCATTTACATCTGCTCTGTTAAATCTCACCCGAGACAAGGACGCGCATTCCAACGAGCCCTTTGTGCCTTTGGCTCGTTCCACCCAGCTGTTATACCTAGGACCCATTGTGCTCTCTTACAATGATTGCTATTTAATGGAACTGAAAGGTTTGCAAATCTGAGGGAAGTACAGCGCTCTGTAATGATTTTTGCAGCCTTTGCCATCAGAACGGTCTTTGTGTGCTATAAACTAACCCGACTGCAGGATATTTCAATCCGATGCATCCCATAGGAGAAATCATCAGTGAGAGTAATTGCATCGGGGCTGATCACATCATAGAAGGAAGGCCAACCTGGAAAAGAGGAACAAGATAAGTAAGAAAAGAGGGTGTCTTTGTGGCAGATGGCACTGTAAAAAGCAGAGACAGAAACACACTTTGAAAAATGTTTATTTCACTCCAGAGCTCCAGAGTCAGAAATAACTGAAATGGACATTTTGGATCATAAATCATGTAGGTATGTTGGAACATTTTCCCCCAAATACAAAGTCCTTTACTGAGCTGCCAGCAGCTGCCCATCTTCCATCTCAACAGAGACTCCTGCACACCTCTGCCACCTCTCAGCCACCAATGGCCACCTATCACCTTCTGCCCTTCAGCTCTTCCTTGCCAGGTATCCCCCTCTCCACAACACCAGCACAAAGCAGCTACCACAGTAGATACCCATTACACAGCTGGAACTTTTCAGCCACCCCTCAAAAAAAACTCTCATCATAGGCTCTGTTTCCTGAAGCTGGGTTCCCACATAAGAACCTGATAGGCTTTAAGGTCGTGTCAACATCTACCAGTGCCCATCCAAAATCCCACCAGATATCTGTCCCTCTCGGCCAGTCTCCTGCCAAATATTGCAACATGCACAGATAACTCTTGCTCTCTGTGTATTACAGACATGCCCACGCAGAGAGAACTTCCTTGTTTGTTCCCCTAATATCTGCTAAGCATTTGCTACAGATGATTTCATAAAATGACTTGCAATAAGCTATAACAAACACAGCAGCAGCTGTGAATCACTGCATGCAGATGAGTAAAGGATGTACACAGCTTTCCATAAGTAACAGGAGTAAAAGTTCCTATTCAGTAAAAGGAGGTGTGGAAGCCATCAAGTTTTCTGAATGCGGGTAAGGAAAGTGTGTAAACTGGAATAAAAAATAGCATATGTCTTCATTTGTATCGTAAGCCATTAAATGGCAAAGAACACTTATTAGGATGCAAGCATAGCAGACATAAACGTTTAAGAGGTGCTCAGAAGTGCAATTTTCTCCATTTTGGGAACCTCTGCACACAAATAGCAGCATTCCTAAGCCTGCAACCTGAATGCATGGCAGGTCCCAAGTCCTGTGCTTCCAAGGAACCTGCTGGCATCACAAGTGTTTCCCCCTCCAAAACTCACTGCAGAAGCAGAGTCATTTCCTTCCCCCAAAATACTGCAAATGTAAGAGACAGCAGATGGATTGAAGTGGAAGAGGTCTGAATGGGGAAAATATCCCACAAGACAGGAACTCAAAACAGTGCAGAAATGACAAACAAAAAAAAATAATATTATAAGTTCTTCCCCTCGTGCAAAATATCGCTGCCAAACAAATACCTTCACAAACAGAAAAGGAATAAACATATGACAAGTTTTGCAGAAGAGGTTATCCCGTTGACAGAAAAATTGATGTCTCCTAATTGGTGGCACATCTCCAACATCATTCATCATCTCAGCTGGGCCTCGGTCTAATAAAGGCCTTACAAAGAGCTGGTCAGACATTTTTGATGAAGCACTTTAGTTATTGCAATTTAAATATCTTGCTAACCAGGCATATCTACTTCTCCGTTTGTGTGACGGCAGAGGATTTCCAAAGAGGGACCTGCTTGGAGCAACCAGCTATCTCACCGTGTGAAAGCGTTTGGAGGAGGAACACTGCAGTGCTGCAGCAATTCTCGGAGGCAACCCTCCCTCCTCCGTAATAGCAATAAGGGGGAAGCTTCAAAGGCTGCTGCACAGAGATTGAAGCAATCTGTGTCTTGCTGAGAAAATTATCTTGTGAGAAGGGTTTGGAGGAGATGTGTTTATGTCAGCTTTGACATTAAAGAAAGACCATCTATCCTCCTTTCTCCAGACTTTTCCTTTTGGTCTTCCCATTCAACACAGAAGAAAAAAATATTATTTGCTTTGGATGCATTCCATGCGCTTTTAAAAAGTGAAGTCATCTGAAACCTATATAAACAGTCAAGCTCCTCCTAAAGTAGCCTTTGTACCCAACTGGAGTGACTTCAGCTTCCTTCTACACATGCACATGTTTCAGAAGCTCCACCACTGCCACATGTTCCCCAAGATAGGGGCTAGGAAACAGCCTGTGCCTCCACAGGGCAAACTTCCAGCTCTCAGCTATGCCATCTCCTCTGGAGTACCATCACGGACCAGGCCCCAGCATTGCTGTGCCCAACCAACAACTCCATGAGGGTTGAGTGAAATCCGATCAAACCTAAAACAGAGAAGCTCCTGAAGGGCACTGTGCAGGACACCGTCAGTCAGCCCTGAGGGGGGGACAAGTGAACTGCTCCTTGTGCTGATGAGCCAGAATCAGCAGGAAAACCAATCCCCCTCTGCTGTCTCATTTCCCCTCTTCAGAGCTAAAGTGGAAAACCCATTTGATAGTTTGCTAAGCCTTCTCTGGCCCTTTTCTCTGCTTTAAGAGCTGCCAGGAACAAGCTGTAGAAGCAGTCTGCTCGCCTGCACATTAGGCAACTCCCAGTGATGTTGGAAAACCAACTAGACCCCTGTGGGTTCTTCATACAATCTTTCTTTCTTCCTAAGCGGTGGATGACCCAGCAGTGTCCCCACTTTACAAGCCCCTGGCTACTTTTCTCGCCTCTCAGTGCTGCTGCTCAGCCACTCCTTTCCTTCTGAGAGCCTGTTCCTCCTTGCCCTAAGGCCGCAAAATGGCTGATCCATTCTGCATTTTAGATTGCTGTTGGCTGTGCTCTAATGCTTTGGCCTGCCTTTGAAGCTATCTGGCAGGGCATGTTTCCACGGTGAACTAGGACTGGGGGGAAGAAGACCATTTAGGAGCTCTTCTGCTCCTACTGGAAGGAAGAGTGACCCCTGGTGCTGTACAGACTGAGCTCTGGAGAAGGCCCTTAAAAGTGCTAGTGCTTAGACCCAAACCTCCACGGGTTGGGGCAATACAAAATAAGAGCCTGTTGTGTTTGTGCTCACTCTAGTGACCCTTTATATGTGAATCAGACCACTATGTCCTAAGGGCCAATATCTGCTTTGATAATAAGACAGACATGCAGGTGAAGAGTTATTCAGATCAAAAGCAGGTATCCTGTCCTAGATCTAAAACAAAGGAATGACATTTTCTTCTGAAAAGCACCAAAATGAAAGCCATGGTGGAAACCGAACATCACTGACAGATCTTTTCCACTCCATCCTGCAGGAATAACAGAAGGGATCTCGTGCTGTGGGGCATCACACATACCACGTGCATCTCCTTCTGCAACCGAAATGCTGAAAGTGGGGCAGTGCCTGAGTAAGAAAGATACAGCAAGCGGTGTGCCTACCATCCAGCCTCTTTTGTGTACTCCTGGTAGAGAAACGAAGTCCCAGCGGGAGAAGGTCATCTCACCCATGTTAACACAGGAAATTCTAAGGCACCTTTATCCTATGGGCTACTCCAGGACTGTTTCCTGGGACAATGCTGACCTCACGCAAAAAAGACGTTTTGTTCCTGTAAACATTTGGAACAGTCCAGCTGTTGAATGATTGATCAATTTTAGAAGCATCTCAATCATCCTACCAATTTCGCACACATTTTGTTGTACTTAGACCTCCAACTTCCTAATAAATGGATGCAAGCAGTTAGACATCTAACTGTTAAAATATGAGCCTATAATTATTTGCAGAAGCAAATCGGCAGGCTGCTTTTGAAAATCAGCCCTGCTAGGCCATTTTTCCCCCTCTTGTGAACTAATATTCCTTTTGACATTTTTTTTTGAACAGCACAATTGCAATCCCCAAACATCGAATGCTCTGACATTATTCCCATTTCATACACCTGCCGACTGGAGACCTCCAGAGTCTTTTAATAACTGTGATGTCTGTAGTTATGTTTTTCATTTTGGAACCCAAAGAGACTAAGTTCAACCTGCATTTTATCATTCTTTGCCGTAATTATTCCAAGCATTTACTTCAGTGAGTTATTTACAGATGGAGAAGTAGGGGGAGATGGAAGATGTTAGAACTACCAAATGACACCAGATGGAAAAGAGGACCTTGACCTGAAAAATACCTTGTTTCTCTGATGTGCTGTATTTTTAGAATTCTGATTCCCTTTTAACCTAATGTGGATTAATGAAAACCCAAAGGCTTTTTAAGGTAGAGGTTCATCATTTATCTTCACTGAGAAAGCTATGTCTGTGTAAAAACATGAAGCATATAGGATTAAAAAAGGTAATAAAGCTTCTGCTTTGAAACTGCTGTAAAGCTGAAGGGCCTTCGCTTTCTTCTTTCTCACAGGTTTATTGAAACCGAATCTGAAAGACACAGGCATCCACAGCTGTAACTTCTCACATACAAGTTTAATGTGGAAGTCCAAAGTGACATATTCCTGTTATGTACGATGCCTGTGCAAATGCAGGGCAGTTTTTGCCTAACCTGTTGGGTTATTTTTCATAATATCTCCACGATGATGAATGCATAACAAATATTCTTACTTACAAATATTTTACCATCAGGTAGCACTACTTTCAGTGGAGGTCCAACTGTAGCTAGAAACAGACTCAGGCATGGAAACATTCATGTTCACCAGCAAATGGCTGGACATGAGATATGTAATTCACTGGAAAGAAAACAACTGGTCCTTTCCAGCACCCTCTAGGCTTAAGACAGATGACATGGTACTGGTTTTCAGCAGAACATGTGGAGCACTGCAGTGGTAGCTAGGTAGGGAAGCAGCCAAAGACAAAAAGCAGCTTAATTTTGGAAACAAAAATAAGGAAAAGGGGCCTCTCTAACCCACTGTCTCTAATAGAAAAGTTGGGCTGCCACAACAGGTAAACAGAATGCTGTGCAAAGGGAATTTTATAAAACAGTTGAATTCCTAGCAACAGCTTTTATCAGATAATCATAATCTGTTTGTTTTGTGGGTCTGTGTTTCTTTATGTTTCTCACTTGGGAAAGAAAAAAGTGGAAACCATAAATAAAGGTGGTGTTTGTTTTCATCCATGACGGCACTCCGAGCATCAAAACAACATTCTGTGAAACAGCATATGCAATCCAGATTTATTTCTTCGTTAGTGGGAGAAGG